CCTTATCTTCTCTCCTCTCCCTTCTCTTCCCCTTTTCTCTCCTCCCTCCTCTTCTTCTGACCAAGAATAATACAGTGTATCTTTTGTGAGTGAGTATGGCTGTGAGTATATACATTCCTAGGGATCTAAGCCAGGGAGGGCTTCACACATGCTAAGTCAGCTTTCTACTGCAGAACCACCCCTGTTCCAGCCTATCTCTCTATATGTGTTTTCATTAATTTACTTTTTCTGTTTATTTGTTTGTTTGTGTGTTTTATGTGCATGAGTGTTTTGTCTATATGTATATTTGCATACCAGAAGAGGGCATCAGGTCCCATGGGACTACAGTTATAGATAGATGTTTGAGAGCCACCATTGTAAGTGCTGAGAATTGGACTTAGGACCTCTGGAAGAGCAGCCAGTGCTCTTAACTACCCAGCCATCTCTCCAGCCCCTTCACTTTTTCTAAATGAAAGTATTCAGCTTTTTAAAAAAAATGTATTTGTAGAGCTAGGTGTTGGTGCATATGCCAGGCAGACGTTCCACCACTGAACCTGTATTTTTTCCATTTTATACATTTATGTATTTAGTTATTTTTATGTGTGTGAGTCTTTTGTCCACATGTATGAATGTGAACCATGGGAATGCCTGGTACCTGTAGAGGTCAGCAGATGACAGATACTCTGAAACTGGATTTATAGGTGTTGTGAGTCGCCATGTGGATGCTAAGAGTCAAATCCAGGCCTTCTGCAGAGCAATAAACACTCTAACCATTGAGCTATTTCTCCAGGTCCAAATGGTTTTTTTTAAATGTAGCTTTAGTTCTTGAAAGACGCACACAGCCATGAACTAGTAGTCAGTCCTGAGCTCAGGGATTAAGAGCACTTGCTGCTCTTGCAGAGGACCTGGGTTCAGGGTCAAGCTCCCACCCTGAGTGGCCTGCAGTCACCTCAATTCTCCTTCCAGGGGATCCAGTGCTCTTCTAGCCTCTGTTGGCAGTCACACATGGTACACATTCATACACTCAGATACACATACATGTGCACATACACATGGTACACATTCATACACTCAGATACACACATACATGTGCACATAAAATAAAATTAGTTTAATTGTAAATAACAATAAAAAGAGCCATTTTCGGAGCCAGACCTGGTGATGACATGTCTTTAATCCCAGCCCTGGGGAGACAGAGGCAAGTGGATCTCTCTAGTTAAGGCCAGGCTAGGCTACATAATGAATTCTAGGCTAGCCAGGGCTACTTAATGAGACCTTCTCTAAAAATGCAGAGGTAGAAGGCCTTAGGAACTATGTAGATACTATTCCAGTAATTTTGGCTGAAAGTATATTAAAAGATTTTAAGAAAATAGTCTACTTAATATGTTTCATATAACCAGAGTCAATAGTAATGTTGATAATAGCTACTTTTGTTGCTTTGAGATTGAACCCAAAGCCTGATGCATGTTATTCTCAAGAGCTGGGAATAAAGGCATGCCCTTTCTCAAAAACTGCATGTCTTAAATTAGTTATGATAGACATAGCTTATAAGAAGACCTGTCAAAGTCATTATTATCTTAATACCCAGTGTAGACTTCAATTTTGTTATCACTGTGTGTGTGTGTCCCAAGAGGGACTTGAAGCTGTGACAGTTCTCCTGCAGCAGCAGTGGTACAGGGGTGAATTACCATGCCCAGACTTTTCCTCCTTTTCTTAAAGACAACTTTGTTAGAATTAGTCCTTGTAATTCTTTTATCTAGTTGATAATGACCAAATTACTTCATATCTCTTAGATTAAATTTACATCCTTGGAAAATGGTACTTGTTATAAGTATTATTTGCTGTGTGTTAATAAAACTAGTTTTGTCTTCCTTCACTCCCTCTTCCTTTTTTATTTTGATTTGTTTTGCTTTTAGTTTTTCCAGACAGGATTTCTCTGTGTAGCCTTGGCTATCCTGGACCTTGTTGTGTAGACCAGGTTAGCCTCTAACTCAGAGATCCTATTGCCTCTGCCTCTGCCTCACAAACACTGGGATTTAAGGCACTGAGCTACCACTGCCCTGCTCCCTCTTCCTTTTTTTAAGTTCCAGATTTTATTATAATGGTAAGCTATGACTAATTAGGATACTTGGTTCAAGGCCAGTGTGATAGCTCAGCAGGAAACAGCTACCACCAAACCTGACAGCCTGAGTTCAGTCCCTGGTACTTAATGGTAGAGGAAAAGAACCAGAGAACCATCTTCTGCAAACTCTCTTCTGAACAAAGAAGCTCAGTGTTCCATACATTGATTGGGTGTGTGTATGTATGTGTGTGTGTGTTCATATGCATAGAATGCACAGAGACACACAACACGCACACACGAAGGAAGAAAAGGAAACAAGCAAAAGGTCAGGGATGTAGCTCAGTGAGTGAAGAATGCTTGTGTCCTCAGTCCACGTGAAGCCGTGTGGTAGTCCGTGCCTGTACTTGTAGCACTTGAGAGGCAGATGCTGAAGGACAGATGTTCAAAGTCATCCTTGGTGTGTTTGAGGCTACATGAGACCCTACTCAGAGAGAAAGAGAGGCAAGAGAACAGAACAAGTACTCTCCTTATATATAGTCCAGTTTGGTGCTCCATACAATGAACAAACAAGTGTTCTTTTTTTTTTTTTTAAACAAGTATTCTTTACAGAAAAGCAAAAAGAAATGAAGGGATGATAGGAAGGAAAAATGAAGGTCCAAACTAAGGGATTGTCGGCTGAGGCGGAAAGATCTTGGATTAGAGGCTAGCGTTTGCTACTATCTTAGGGTTTCTGTTTCTGTGGTAAAATACCATAACCAAAATCAACTGGGAGAAGAAAGTTTATTTCATTTTACAGCTTATAGTCTGTCATGCAGGAAAGCCAGGGACTGATGCAGAGGCCTGCAGGAATACTTGGTCAGCCTGCTTTCTTATCCGTCCGTAGTACTACCTGTTCAGTAGGAGCACCATCCACAGTGGGTCCTTTCTCAGCAGTCACCAGTGGAGGGAATGCACTACAGATTTGCCCACAGGCAAATCTTACAGAGGCTTTTTCTCAGTTGAGAGACCCTCTTCTAAAGTGCCTTTAGCTTCTGTCAGGTTTACTAGCCCTGGGTTGCAATGGCAGCACTGTTTTGAACAATACAAAACCAAACTGGGGCTAGCAAGATGGCTCAGAAAATAATGGTGCTTCTTGCCAACCGTGAGATGAGTTCAGTCCCTAGGACCTACATAGTGGAAAGAAAGCCAGCTCCTGTAACTTGTTCTCAGAGCTCTACACACTTCTGGTGTGGATGTGCTTCACATACACACTGGAAATAAGTATAGTTTGCATTTTTAGAACCGTTACAGGGAATGCTTTAAGCTAGGAAACTGGTCCTCATGGACTTGTGATTATTGGTAATCTCAAATTATAATAATTCAATAATGAAAACTTAATTCCTTTTTCTTCCTTTTAGCAACTTCTTCAAATAGTGAAGCAGAAAACGAATCAAAATTCCGTGGACACTACATTGAAATTTACTTTGAGTGCACTTTGGAACCTCACAGATGAATCCCCAACGACGTGTAGACACTTCATTGAGAATCAAGGGTTGGAACTCTTCATGAGGGTTCTAGAGGTTAGAATGGAAATTTACCTAACAATTTGGACAGTTTCTTTAAGCATTTCTTTATTATATTTGTCTCTTTAGATAGTTACACGTTTCTCTTTCTTTTGTAGTCTTTCCCAACCGAGTCATCCATTCAACAAAAAGTTCTAGGACTTTTGGTAAGATGTAAACCTCCTGATAAATTCCAAACCATTGCTTTCTAAGTGTGTATGTACATTAGAAGTTGTTGCTTGAGCAAGACTGCTTGGTTGGTAAGGATACTTCTTGCTGAGCCTGATGATAGGAGTTGATCCTAGAATTTACATGATGGGAGAAAAGAACACACTTCAAGATGTTTTTTGACTCTACATGTGACACACACACACACACACACACACACACACACACACACTTGCACACACTCTCTCTCTGTAGATAGATGAATAAATGAGGATATAGGTCAGTTGGTAGAGTGCTTGCCTAGCATGCATAAAATCTGGTTCCATTTTTTGCATCATATAAAGTTGGGTGTTTATATAAAATATAAATTTAAATATAAAGGATAAAA